TGAGCCAGCTCGTAAACGAACTTGAGCTCGACGGACTCGTAGACCTGGGACAGCTGCTGGAAGAGACGGGTAAGGATGACCTGCTGCAGGGGCAGGACGTACTTCTCCATCTCGGGGTCGGCACCGATCTGCTTGAGGATGGGGGTGATCTTCTTGCAGATGGACAGAGGGTGGAAGTCAACCTCCAGGATGTTGTACAAGTCGCGGATCTCGGGGCGGACGCGCTTCAGCAGACCCTTGTTCAAGGCATCCTTGAAGAGAATAGCACGAGAGGGAGCCTGAGCCATACCGAGCAGGTTGGTGAGGCGAGTGTTCTTGTTCTTACGGGCCTCATCGACGTCAACGAGAGCACCGCGGGAGCGGGAAGTGCTGATGACAGGGATGGAGAGGGCCGACAGCAGGACGAAAGAAGCAGCCTTGGTCATGTCAGCCTCGCTGACGGAGGGGTTCTCCTTCTTGGTGCTCTGACCAGCGGCAAGGGCCGCGGCGGACTGGCGGAGCAGGTTGTAGTAGCGGCTCCAGGCGGCGGCGTGAAAGAGGTAGTTCTCGCTGACGAGGAAGATGCGGGCCAGCTTCTCGTAGTAGTTGGCCATCATGACGTTCTTGGCGGGACGCTTAGACAGGCTCAGCAGGGTGTGGATGTCCTCGATGCTGCGGAAAGCCTCCTGCCAGAGCTCAAGCTCAACGGCAACGTTCAGCTGCTGGAAGCGAGTATCCAAGTGACGCTGGAGGGTGTCGGGATCGCTGAGGTTGATGGCGTGCATCTGAGCGGAGTACTTGGCGGCGTTCTGGACATGGTTGCGAAGAAGCTCACACAGACGGCGGAACTCCGTCTTGCGGGTGTACTTGAGACAGAACTGGAAGGCCTGCAGGGCGGTGGTCTGGTACATCACCTCCAGACGAGCGTTGTTCTTGAGGATCTCCAGCACGGTGCGGTAGGTTTCCCAGAGGAACTTGAGCCATGGGGTGACGACGGCGCGGTCGGTACGGTCGCGGGACTGTTCCCCGGAGACAGTGGCCAGCAGAATGGTCTCGGGGGTTTCGATAGCCTCCAGATCGTCGACGTTGGAGGAGGGAGCCGCGGATTCCAGGGAAGACTGGATCTCGTCGGCCTTGGCCTGAGCCTCGGTGACCTTCTTCTCGGCGAGTTCGATGAACTTCTTCAGGACCACCTATACCACACACGAAACAATTTCCTCTTGCAGTCAGTCTTTGGCCTAGTGGTAGATACGACGGGCGATCCTACCTCGATGGTGCCGACGTTGGTGTTCTGGGCGATGTTCTTGTACTGGTAAAGACCATCCTTGGCAGACTTGCCCTTGCGGAGATCGACACACAGCTCAACGAAGAGGAGCATGACGGGCTCGAGCGAGACGATGGGAGTGCTGCGCGTTCTCTTGGAGGTGACATGTTCGTGAAGGACGTTGAGGGCGGCGGGAGCCTGGCCCACGGCGATGAGTTCCTGAGCCCTCTACAGACAACAAACCGTTAGTTGATATTCCATCACTAATTCCCCATCATCACCGTCATCTTCTTTGATCCCGTCTAGTCTTTTTCTTCATTTGTTTCCCCGAGCCAAGATTGTTCTCCGACTTCTTCCCGATCGACAGCGCGTACCTTGAGGACATTTTCAGGCTTGATATGGGGTGGCGGCGGCATGATGGGCGATGTAGCGGGTGAGAAACACAATCAGTTGTTGATAGATGTAAAAAGATGGATCGCACAACGACGGGCGGGCAGCAAGAGGTCGAGGGCGATAAAAGCCTGAGGTGAGAAAGGCTGCCACGCGACGGTCGGCGAAATGACCCAAGACGACACAAGCCGGTGGGAAATATGGGGGGGAGGGAGGAGGAGGAGAGGGAGGACAAGACAGAGAGGCTGTGGTTGAGGGCCGTCGTTGTGCGAGAGCCGGCGAAAAAAACCAAGATTTGCCCACTTTGGGTTAAGCGACTGGGACCGCGTTGATCACGTGATTACATCCCCAAGCGCCCGCCGCTATCGAGACGCGCTCTACATCCTACGACAGTGTGCTAATTACGATTGTATATTCTTCTCCCATGCGAATTATAAGGATGATTTGTAGTGCCCTTGGTAAAAATGTTTCGCATAGTGGTAGTGGTAGTGGTGATAACAATGGTGGTGGTGGTGGAGGCTCATCGAGCCGCGTCCTCCACAGCCTGGGCCACCCGCATTCTTCCTAAAGCTCGAACAATCATAACAGGATGAATGGAAGGATGGAGCGGAACCCATGGGAAGATGGGAGAGGGGAACAGGAATACTCGTATTATGTACTCGAGAAACGTCCTCATCCTTTGAGTCGACCGAGCAGGAGATCCATTCGACAGAGCGCCAGCTGGTACGATCGCCATCGGAGCTATCAAGCTTTCAGGATTGATGTGTCTGTCCATTGATCAGTCTGATCAGTCTGTGCAGCGGATTAACTGTCAAGCCCCCAGCTGCACGTGAGGCTCAAGGCTCAGACTCATACGTCCGATTGATGACCCCATCATGGCATGAGGATCCGATGATCGTGATTTGAATTTGGTTCAGTGATCAGGGACAAGAGCTGGAGCATGACGAAGTGGGTGTCTCCGGTCTGGTACCTCATTCATTTTCGTCGGTTGTTGCTTCAGGGGTGAAGGAGGGTAAGAAGAGGAAAAAAAGAGGAGCCAAACCCGGCTAGACGGGAAATTAGATTCAACCGCGCCGTTTGGGTTCCGAATTATAGAAACACCAGAAACACCAGAAACACTCCATCACCACCACCAAATTGGTTTCTCGAAGTGATTATCTCTCATGCCTGTTGGGGGTCTTGTTTGTTGAGCGCTAGGTAAAATAAAAAAGTGGTAGTGAGTCGTAAGATTGGCAGGATAGATGGTAACGTTAGTTAGAATCAAGTACGTTAGTTATTGTTCATATTCAAGATGGATAATTTATCCCCTCCTCCCCTATTAATACTATGTTGAAATGGGTGTAGCTCCAAACTCCTTCCCTTTTTTCCCTCTTTTTCCCCCTCTCCACTTCGTCCACTTCGTCCACTTCCTGCTTGTTCTCCTTCCCCGAGCTTGTTCCCAAAGTCCCAAATTGCCCACCAGCGAACTGACTAGCAATTGAACTACTAACTTACTAACTAAACCTCTCTTCTCTCCCTCCCTCTCTCTCCCTCTTCTTCTTACCTACCTCTTCTTACTTACTCTTCCGTCTTTCCCTTCCCTTCTTTTCCTTCTCTTCCCTCTTTTCTTCCCCGTTGGATCGTCGTCCCCTCTGCTTTCCCTCCCACCCTTACAGTTAGTTAGTTCTTGTCGACTCTCTCTGGCTTGTCTGTCTGTCTGCTGTCTTATCTTCGCTTCTCTTCCCCCACTCTCCACACCACCCCCTCCCGCGAAGTTCGCTCATTAAATCTCCTGCTGCTACTGCCAGTGCTTGGGTGGTTTGCCTCTCTCCTTATTCCGCACAGCCTCCCACTATTACTACCACCACCACCACCACCACTCCTCCTCATCCTCATCCTCCCGTCTTTCTTCCTCTCCCCTTACAGCTGCTGCACCGCGCCGACCGCAAATCTTAACAGCGACTCCGACCTCTCACTTCCGGCTGCCATTCGCAAATCCCACCACTACTCTATCGATCCCTCATTCCATCGCTCCGTCTTGTGCTCCGTCAGCGCGAGTCCCATTCGACTGATCAGACCCTCGACTATTACCGGAGTCCGTCTCTTGATCGCTCGCCCAGTTCACATTTCCGACCGACCGTTTTTAAACATTAAGCCTCCCCCAATCAGTGAAAATGCCAGCCTACGAACTCCGATCCGGTGGTGATGTCAAGAACAAGAAGCAAAGTGTGGCCGATCTCAAGTACCGTCGCCTGACAGAGCTCAATGCCCGTCTAAAGGAGGATCTCGACCGTCCCCGCGTCAAGGTCTCCGAAGCCGCCTTGTCGTATGCCTTTCCCTCCCCAAATCCGACCGCAAAAAGGGCCCCCACACCGTGAGCATGACAAATCACTAACCACAATCGCATTCCACAGTCTGATTAATTACTGCAACAACACCCGCGACTTTATGGTACCATCCGTATGGGGTCAGGTATGCGAGTTACTCTCATGCGGCATTCGATTGGGCAAATTGGCACGGTCGCTAACTACAGCGCGCGCAGGTCGACAAGCGGGAAGACCCATACGCCCCTCAGCAGCAGGGCGGCTGCTGCACAGTCATGTAATGGAACCCATGACTGTCTATAATCTCTATCGACTCTGAACTCTCAATCCGCCGACCGATGGCCGACTTACGGCGTTCTCTTTTTCTTTAATATCCCCTCCTGCGATGACTTTTTTTACCTTCTGCTCGACTATTTAATTCATCTTCACCGTCACCCTATCATTGACTTGAAATGTGGACCTAATTTGCGACTTTGCTTGGATGCCGGTCGAGTGCGACAAATAACAATCAACGACCAAGACGGAAGGAAGACCGATGCTTCAACTGGAATGTGTGCGTATGCACTGTTATCGACATCCGACCGGCCAACACAACCAAGCCAAATCACAATCAGATCTATTAGTCAAGGGTGTCTTTTTCTCAAATACTTTTTGTCGGCCATCTATACTCAGCCAGCTCGACATATTTTCCGTTCCCATTGCGAAATTTTTTTCCATCAGTGATTTTTTTATTGGACCCGTATTTCCTATGTTCAGCCGTGAGATTTTCCATGATGGGTTTAGGAGGAGTTGCATGCTAGGCCAAAAAAAGAAGCAAAAGCCGGGACTGACAGCGGCAGTGGGGATGAGCCTGGTTCTTGTAATATAGATTTGCAGGGCTAGTTAATGAGTATTACTGTAGTGTGAGACGGGGTTTAGTATATTTGACATGACAGTTCTAGAGAATGAAATCTCCGATTTCATGCAGTAGATCGAGCTACACTCCACCCGCTGACATCATCAAGTGCTAGTTCTCCCACTGCATCCACCAACTCTAACCCACCACACTTCATCCCGACATCCTCACCCACCCAACCCTCTATCTCACCAAAACCATCAACTCCGCAAGAGAACCAAAAACAGAGAAGAGACGAGAAAACAAGAAGAAAAATGATCTCCCTCCCACAGCACACCCCCACCCCCACCCCCAACGCCAGCTCCGTCCCCCAAGACCAACTCACCACAGCCGCCAATCCCACCGCAACCCCGGCCTCTGCACCGCCGCAGCACCAAGGCCAACAACTGCCCCTGCACCACCCCCGCCTAACAATCCAATACTGCACGCAGTGCAAATGGATGCTCCGCGCCGCATACGTACGCCCCCCCCCGCCCTTACCCTCTCACCCGTCCCCTCACCCTTCCACCCCACGTCCCAAATTCCCGAACCACAACCGCTAACCTGATTGCATCCCCGGGGATTCAACCCTCCGGGGAGGGTTGGGGAGGAGGACAGTTCGCGCAGGAACTCCTCTCGACGTTCTCGACGCAGCTGGGCGAGGTGGCGCTGCAGCCGGCGACGGGGGGTGTCTTCACGGTGACGCTGTATCATCGGCGGGGGGTGGTGGGAGAAGAAGAAGATACTGCGGGGAACGGACCGGGACAGCTGGAGGCCGACGCAATCACCGAGACGGTGCTGTGGGATCGGAAGCGGGATGGCGGGTTTCCTGGTACGTATGTTGTTTTGTTTCGACGTCCCGTTCCCCTGGCGGGGATGTGGTGATCTACTTCTACCGGGAGGGGGGGATGGATGAACTGTTACCTGGAGACTGAGACTGACAATCTTCAAGAAGTCAAGGTGCTTAAATCCCTCGTGCGGAATGTGGTGGATCCCGGGCGGGACTTGGGACATACCGATCGGGCGTTGAGGAAGGCCCGCGAGCTGGGGCAGCAGCAGCAGCAGCAGCAGCAACAACAAGAAGAAACCCAGGAAAAGGAGAAGTGTGGGGATTGTCAATAGACCAATCTATATCATATATAAGTAGTATCCAGAGTCTCAATCAATTCGAAAAAGGTATAACGGCAAGAAAGTGAAAAGTAAACCAATCGAGGAATGAATATCCATTGTCATGCAATACAGTAAAGAGCACAAGTCCTCCCTCCTCCTTATAAACGCCATCTCACGCCCCGACTCTAATGGTGCCCCAAATATCCATGAGCCTGTGTCCTCTTGTATAATATAAAAACATAAATAAATGTAGAAAAAGAAATTGGTCCAGACAATGGTCAGATGTAACAAAAAAGAAATGTTAAGTGAAGGCAGTTCGCAAGGGTTTACACTAAGTACCCTCGCATGCCAGCACCGGAAGGCATTGGTCCCTCCGATACTAGCATATCGTCAAGATCGTCAAATATCGGGGAGTCATGAGCCCAAGCCTCTGTGCAAGCAGAGACACTGAGCCCAACCGCCCGTATCACCAATCCGTGTCGTCAGTCATGCAATCCATCGTAAATCCAAGTCATCAGCTGAATGTCACCGTATGCCCATAACCCAAGTTCCCCCTTGGTTTTCCATGAACACCTTGAAATCAAATCGCAGAATAACGCCAAAGAAGCAGAAGATCGTGTCAGGTCTCGCCACTCAGCTCGTGCTGGTGCGAATGATGCGGCTTGCGTCGCCAGAATGCCAGTCGGAGACGACTCCGTCGTTTTACCAGTTTGAAGGGGCCCGAGTGACGCTCGCCAGGCTCGCCCCAAGGACGACCTCGTCCATCTTGTTTGGAGCTGCCCGCGGTCGTCGTGGATTGCCCAGAGCTGCCGGTGCCATTGCCCGCAGGCGATCCCAAGTGCTTGCTCCCAGCGTCGTACGTGTGTGGGTCGGATGCCCGACGGTTGACCGGGTAGACGGTACCGGTAGACTCATGATTAGAAGTCGCAGGTCGGATGTTGGCCCGGCTCCACTCTTCATTGTCGCTCCGGCTGACACTTTCCCGAGCAAATCCTTTCTCGTCACTGTCCACCGTCAGGAAGCTGGTCGCATTGGTAGCCGGAGAGATCGGGGTCATGTTGTTGCTGTAGGTGCTGACGCTGTGGGTCCGAGTGCAGCTGTCCCGTTGAGAGCTCGATAGGCCAGACGTGCGTCCAGATGAGCCAGTGTTCGCATGACGACGGCGACACCCGGTAGGGGCTTGTCGTGAACTGCTGGGGCGTTCCGCCACGCCTTCAATCGAGCTGTTGCGGGCACTAGATGGCCCGGACGCCCCGCCATTCGTGGCGGACGAATTAGCCAGGACAACTGTGGCCATCATGGTCGGGTCGGTCGACGAGCGGTTTGTGTCCGAGGCTCCGTCAAATGTCTCACTTGGCCGTGCTGAAGGCGTGGTGGAGAAGTCATGGCTACTGGTGCGTGATTCTCCAGGAGTGGAGACCGTTGCATGGTCGAACACAGCACCGGATGATTTGCGTGAGTCTATCTCCGTTGGGAATGGACTGCCTGTGATGTCCATAGACGGACCAGGTGTATCCGGTGATATCACGGGGCTGATGTTGTTCTCATTGTAGTCACTGGGTGGTTCATCCGAGTTGACGGGCGAGTGCACGGCCCCGAAGTAGTCGTCCGGAGCGGACCGCGGGGTAGCGCTGGTAGGGAAGGCGGGCTTGACCAGAGTGTCGGGGCCAGGGGTTGCCACCGGGGCGCGCATACCCTTGAGACTTCGAATTGGACTCTGCGTGCGCGGAGAAACCACCTCATCTGGACGCAAATCTAGTAACAGTGTTTGTCGGCTCTTCTCTCGGTCGGCAAGCATATGCCATCTGAACTGGTTTCCTCGAATATGGTCCACCGTAAATTTCAAGTCGGGAAGGATATCCGATACCCCCTCAAACAGAGGTAGCGCAAAGATCGACATGAAGCCAATCTGGCCGGTGGCAAGTTTGTAGATGTTCCCGAGCTCTGGGGGCCCGCCAAACAAAGCAGTCTCCATTCCCACCTCTTTCTCCATTTCGCCCTGGTTGGCGAACTCCTCCTGTAGGATCTGGGTCCACTTTTCTGCAACATCCCACGGCCGCGCCACATTGCTGATGTCGGCACATTTGATCAGCAGACCGCACACGAGGGTCTTGTAAAGCTCCAGATCTTGCGGCTTCCACCCGTCCGTGGTGCAATCATTCTCATGAAACCGCTCTTGCAGCGACCCTAATCGTTCCATGAACTTCTGGTGAACGCCCATATCCGTTGCTAGGATGGAGCTGATCAGCAATTTGCGGAGCTGGCGATCTTTGAAAGCGGCCGGCCAGTACCGACGCAGGATTTGGGAAAAGGCGGCGCAGTGAAACGCCTCCAAGACGGAGTTATCGTTATAGAGTTGAGCCAGCGGGGCATTCAGCTTGACCAAGAAAAAGTTGTTTACGCCCGGGTGACCGACATCGTGGCCAATCGCAGAGATCAGCAAGGTCAGGGTATCAAACGGCGTGAGCAGGGATGCAATTGGGCACTTGTCGCCCGATGCCGGGCCGACCGATCGATAAGGAGGCAGCGCGCCTATATGGAGCAAAAAGCAGAAGACGGACTGCAGAACGTCTATGGCATGGCGGAAATTGTGGTATAGCACGAAGGAATTGTAGGAGGCGCGGCAGGCAAGGAGGAACGTCCGAAGTTCACCTAGAGAAGCTCGTTGATCAGCTGGCAGGGCCTTTTGACAAGTCTGCAGAAAAGGTCATGCACTTACCCGGTGTCAGTTGCCACTCTCCCAAGTCAGGCACACTTAAAGCATGTTGAAGCATCTCAAAGGCTGCCAGGACCAACTCATCGTCAGAGAACCCATGAGCGGTGAAGCTCCATTGTCCGATCTGTTCTCTAACGAGTTCTGCGCGCTCCGCGCGTACATCTAACTCGCGGTCCTGAAACTCTTCAATAACCTCTTCTGGATTGCAAATGCCTTTCATGAGCTTGGAAACCATCGCCTCTCGCAGGTAAGCATAAGGCTGCTCATCGTGCACCCCCACCCACGAGTGCTTTCGCGTTTTCTTCCTCGACAGGAAGCGCGCGGATTCTCGCAAGGCAGTTTTACGGGTCCGGTAAGCATGGACAACCAGAGCTTGCGCTCGACAGCTGTCCAGCGGGGTTACGAGGACGTCGACAGCACCGGCATCCAGGCATTTGGAAATGTGTTGCGGGTCGGGAAGGGTGGATATACTAGGTGGTTGATCGATAGGGGCACTGGTAAGGTCGCCGGACGGAGGGCGCAGGATGGCAACAGGCACGATCAAATTGGGCAAATCCTGCACTTGGATGTCGGTTGATAATCCGGACAGCAATTTCAGATCATATGCCCCCTCCCAGTTCGAGGAAAAGGTGAATCCACGGCGCAGCGACGCGGGCGAGGGAGGCGATACGTCTGCCCATGAGCCACGACTCGCTCGGCGGCGATGTAGGGTCGGTTCTTCTCCGTGCAGATCTATGTCGAAAAATGCAAAAATCGGCATATATTTGCTACCCGCGCCGTCGCTCAACTCGGCTAGTTTCGTTGCGATCGACGCGCCGGCTTGACAGAGATAGATACGTTTACAAACCCCCAACAGCACTCGGACGTCCGATCGAAGCGACTCCGGTTCTTCGAGCAGGAGGGCTTGCGCATCCGGGTCCGTTACCGGGTCCAGGGTGTTGTGATCAACCCATCGCTCCGACCTGACGCGATGATCGATGTAAATGGCAGAACATTCGATGCGATCCATGGTGTCGTTAGGTATCGTGGTGCCCATCATCCAGAGTCTCGGCTTCGAGGGTCAGGTCTCGGTGTAGTCGCAAGGATGGGAAAGAAGGAGGAAGATATAGCGAAGCCGATCCAGACTTGGGCTCATATGGTAGATGTGAACTGCGAATGGGGGGGGATGGTGGTAATAGAGGTGGGAGAGGGGATCTCGAAGCGAAACGAACGGCCGGTAGACTGAGATGAATGAAGCGAAGGAACGTTGTGTGAAGCGAAAAGAAGGGCGGGCTATAGACTGCAGGATCAAGTCACTCTATGCTGGGTTCTGTTTTCTTGCGTCAGCGAAACCTCAAGGTCAGGGATACAGGTGCGGTGTATGCACGCGACGACCAGAGCCGACAGGGAGTGAGAGGCAGCAACCCAGACAGGCTATAGCGGCGACGAACCAGCGTCATCTGCGGCGCGCACTCGAACAATAGATTTGTTCGCTGCAGCGCGGACCAGCAGGAACATGGTCGATGAAAGCCCTTCCTGCGGGAGGGAGGTGCAGGAGGGGCGAGGAGGCTCCCAAGTGAGACAATCCAGGTCGCTTTGCACCCAACCGCATGCATACCTCCAGCTGGCGGTCGGCTATGGTTGCCACCCGTGCATACAACCCGTTGGCTTTTTGTTCACTCACATTCACAGGTTTCTAGGAAATCTCTCAAGGCAAGAATAAAAAATAGATAGGCGAAGGAGGAAGCCCAAACACCAAGAATCGAATGATTCAAAGTAATAGAGGAAGTCGAAGGACAGTTTGAGTTAAAGATTGAATGACGGGCAATTGCCAGTGGATGGATAGTGGTCTGTTCGCGGGCTGCGGTTGTTAAGGTAGGTTCGTCACCGATGATGGAAAATGGCGCCCGAACCAAGTCGACCCGAAGGGGGAGCCACCGAAATCGCGACACATGCAAGATTCGGCTACAGAGAAGGGAGGAGATTGGCGAACCCAGGAAATAGGGCGAATCTTAGGGCGTCATGGTGGGCCACGGACACGGCCAGGCGGAGACAGACACAGAAGAATAAAAGGTTTGGTTGGTAGTAGATATAGGAAAGTGTGAACAATGAGAGAGTGTGGATGAGTTTGTATATGGGTGGAAGTGTGTGTAGAGTGTGTTTGTGTAAGAGAAGGAAACCAAAGAGAAAAGCAAAAGGGAAGAGAAAGAGAGAGAGAGAGAGCGAGAGAGCGAGAGAGCGAGAGCAAGAGGGAAGGGGAGGAAGAGAGAAAGAGAGATTGGAGCAGGCAGTGAAGGGACGGACGGGGTGGAGAGAGACAAGAGAGCCAGAGCAAGCCAAAGATCGATCGGGACCGACGAAGGGGCCGCACGGGTACTCTTGATAAAGGATTAGGTAACGAGAAGGGGACGGGGCAGCAGGAGCTGTGGGAATCAACTTGCGCCGATGGGCTGGCTCTCTTTGGTAATTGATTTAATTGTCAGGTAATTGATTGATTGATTGATAAGAATGGAGAAGGAGGAGAAGAATAAGGTAGATGAGAGAGATCAGAGATCGAGCGAGGTAAGGGAACAATTGGAGAGGAGGGGAAGAGGGCGATCGAATCGTGTGGGTTGAGGAGACGTCACAAAGGGGACGATTGTGGGGAGAGGAGGTCGTAGTGGTAGATGTAATCGGTAACTTAGTACGCGTGGAGATGGAGAGAGGGGTGGGAATTTGAAGATTAGGAAAGAGGAGAGAGAAAGAGAATAGGAAGAAAGAGAAAGAAGAGGAATAGAGGAAGAGAGGAAAGAGACGAGAAGAGTGAGAAGTGAGTGAAGAGGACGGGAAGTCAGTTCCAGACCTTCAGGCAAAGAAGGGGGCGAGAGAGATTTGGTTAGATTACTTTTTAGTAGTTGTACGGGGGTGGAGAGAGGAAGACTGGAGGGAGGGAGGGAGGGAGGGAGGGAAGAGAGCAATGACGACGTTGTTGGATTGGAAATTGAATGGCTAGCGAATCCAGGGTTTGAACCAAAAGCAGTGCGCAAATGGATGGAATGGCGATAGAGAAAGAGAGAGAGAGAGAGAGAGGGAGGGAGAGAGAGAGAGAGAGAGAGAGAGAGAGAGAGAGAGAGAGATAACTACGACTTGTATAGTTAGTACTATACATACATACATCCATCCATCCATATGTAGTAACCTTGAAGTACGAAGTATACCAAAAGCTCATTCATGCTCATGATTTGCTTCTTCCCGTCCTTCTTTTGGTTTTCCTCTACCCTTCGCTCGGTCTTCCAGAAGGTCGCGGCACCCGGCGGCGGCGGCTGCGGGCGTCGTCAGAGAACAACTCCGATGGGGCCAGACAATTTGGCCTGATTGACTAATTTCACTACCTCACCTTACTTACTCCGTACATTCAGCCAGGTTCTTGGCCATGGCTGGTGCTGGTGCTGTACTTGTACTTAAACTAAAAGCAGCATCGGCCCCCCGTCCCAACGACAGAGCTATTCCCTCCGTGTATACGATCGGCCCTTCTCCCCCCACTTCCTGGCCTCGTTCAGGTCCGGTCGGGTTGGGTCTAGTTCATCATGGGGTAAGTAGGAGGAGGAAGAGGAGAAGCGGGAGCAGGAGCTGAGAATGACGCTGATTAATATCTGACTAGCTAAATATATCCATAAATATAACCGTATAATTCCAGATATCCATAAATCGGAACCTGCCGGGAAAGAAAAAAGAAGTGCAATGCAGCAGTCAACTGGAACACTGAGCAACAACCAAGACGGGGGGAAAAAAACCCCCCCCCAAGAAAAAGAAAGAATACACACAGCTGTGGGCACACACACAGGGCGAGAGCAAAGAGTGGGGCGAATGACGCTTAAGCAAGCCATCTCATTAGTTCGTGTCGTGCTCTTCTAGAATCTCCCGGGCGGAAAATGAGTGGAGGAAAAGGGATTCCATCGCACCACTTGATTTAATTAAAATGAGGCTTTGACTTTCTGGCCTCTGTCTTGGGCAGAGTGGGCAGTGGGCAGTGGGCAGTGGGCACGCACTGCAGCGGGCACCTCACAACACAACCACTTGCCCTTCGGTCATCATTATTGTCATCATCATTGGAGTTTCTCTCGACTACTCTCCATATTTATACTCCAGGGTTTTTTCCCCCCTTCCCTTTCCCTTTGACTAGACTTTTTGAAAGAATTGATATTACATCAACGCCACCCCCCCCCCCTTCCCCATCCCATGCATAGAACCTACAGTACTTAGTCTAGTGATCGAACGTGTGGTCGATCCCCGCGTGTAAGCGCATGAATCAGAGGACAAAATGCCGCGAGTCATTGGCAGGTCTTCTAGAACTTCCATTCCACACGCACCCTACACCACGCACCACACACCACATACACACATGGTCACCATACTCTGACCTTGAATTCAAAGGGGTTTCCAATCTATGTTCGCTCATCATTTCCTCTGGAATTCGCATCTGAGGGGACAAATGGAAACGATGCCGAATAGGAGTGGCAAATTCTCCAGTGACGTCGACCAAATGTCCATGATGTGATTTGATGTTGTGGTACATAATTCCAACAATGGGAAGCAGATCCGTCCGCCTTGAAACCGCGGGTGAGGGTTGGGGCTGACAAGAAGGGAGAAAGGCTCCTTCAACCGAAACTCTCTGGGTGTCTTGCCTTCGATTTGAGAGGAGAGGAGGAGATTGGTGGGTGGCTGATGGTCCGCAACATCATGTGTATTTTCTGATGGGTAATTTGAGAAAGGGAAAAAGATGACAGGGAAAGCAAGAGAAGAGAGACATACATAGTTACCGTGACACAGAGAGACAGAGCGAGGTGGAATCAATCCACTGGGCGGGACGGGGACAGTTTTATGCAAGGAGCTTCGACCACTGCTGTTCTTGCTGCTGCTGCTGCTGCTGCCCAACAACAACGACAACGACCCTGTCTAGTTAACTTATCTGTCTCAAGTCTAACCTCGGATAGAAATTCACCTCACCCTTTCCCAACCCTACTTGAATAGTACTTCATATGTCAACAGCTACTGTGTTGAGTCAGGCATACTATACTAGATTGACTCACAGTCCACACAACCTGAGTGGGGAATAATATACTGCCCAGTCAACCATATGCAAGACATGAACGCGCGTTATGTCTCAAGGGATCGTCAGGCTGGATTTCCCGGAATTATATTTCGGTTTCGCGGCGGCCAATCGACCGAACCCACTTTTCTACTGGCTCCATTCAACTTACTGCACCGGACATCCTCGACCTATGTATTTTCTGCATACAGGTGGAATTTCTAGGATACTCATCATGCCGACGAACATCCCTGCTGCCTATTTTGTTCGGCAGATTCGGTACGGTACTGACTGGAACCCAGGTCCCTAAGTTGGTGGAGCCCCCGCATCCAGACACTGTACTGGTCAAAGGGAAAAATCTCTCTTTATCATTCGTAACCCGGCCTGGTCGGGTTCAAAAGGATATTAAATAACAAACATTCAGAATGCCAATGCCACAGGAGAGGGAGGCCATTAATCCATCCCGCGTGGCTTGATCACGCAAACGCAAATGAGAACCTGGTATAGCAAGCACAACGCAAAAGGAGACAAGACAGAGGTGAAAAGAAGCATGGCGATACATACAAGGAGAGTTCTAGTCCACGCTGATCGCCCGGTTTTACCTTACCAGAAATAGTCCCAAAGTAAATGCAAAGAAGAATGGAAAATGAAGACTATGGTACATGGCCTCATGGGTCGGTCTATGGCGGCTTCCTCCAGGACTCTCTCAGGAAAGTAAGTTCTTCAAGGAAGGACTGGCGCTGGCGCCAGAGCCGCCATTCGTCCCACTATTGTTCGGGTGTCTGCCCGTGCCCATCAAATTCGGCCCTCCACCGATGGGCGTTTCATCCGGCTTCACGGGAGGGGTCGGTCCCCGAGGGTCAACGTGGGCTTGGGATATGGGGGGTGACTGGGCTGGCGCCCCGAGGACCCGATCAACGGAATACACCCGCGGTGGTGGCCCTCCGTTCAATGCGCTGAGCGTGTGAGAGGGTGAACGCCGGACCATCGTGGCCTGAATATCCGGTGGTGAAGCCGAAGGTGCATACGGGCGGGGCCCTGCAGCGTGCGAAGGGCGAGGCGACAGCATCGAGGGCGGCCCATAGGGACTCTGATGGGCGGAGTAGGGCTGGGGCGGAGGAGGGTGTGTGCTTGCCGTATAGCGAGGAGCTGGAGGCGGAGGAGCATGGTGCGCTGGAGCCGGCTGGTAGCCGTTGATATGGTGCGCTGATGGGGGCGGGGGCCCTCCTCGATACCCAGGCACCGGTAGACCGTTGCGCAATCGGCCATCCGCATAATCAGCGGATCGCTGGTCATACCAGTCAGGCCCACTGTGCGAAGGCGTGCCCATCGGTCTGGCAAGAACACTGGGCTGAGCCGGATGGGCGTGGTGCGGTCCAGGGCCATACGGGTGGGTATGGAACTCGCGAATTGGAGGATTCGGCAGGACTGGTCGAGAGGCGGGATATGGGGACGGTCGAGGTTCGGGCGATGGCTGAGAGGCGGGCTTCGTGAGGTGGCACTTATGGCATTCCACTAGCGCTTGCGAGCCCTCTGCTGACCCCGTACCGTTGTCTGGAGACGCGTAGTCGCCGTTAAGCCTGGGCAGACCAGTTTGAGATGGCTTGCGAGAAAGGTAAGGAGGACTGGCCGAAGATGCGCCGGGATACCTTGGCTCATTCAGACCGGCTCCATTCAACAGAGGCGTCCGAAGGTCAGTTGTTCGCCGCGATTTATCGATCGACCACCATTTGGGCGTGCAGGTGCTGGAGCAGCGAGCACACTTTCGGCCAGAATTGCTATCAGTGGCGGGGCGAGGAACATGGTTTTCGGAGTCGATGACCATTTCATCTGCCGCATGCTCTGGTGATGCCGGGATAACCTTGTGATTGTCTCTGGTAGTCGTCGACAGAGGCACCACACCGTTGACGGCCGAGACTCGGCGACTCCCAGGGTTTGTTGCGGGGTGATGCGACGCACCGGCAGACTGCTGTACGTAATTGGCTCTCCGAACAGTCCCAGTCAAGCTTAAGTCCGCTTGTTTGTAGACTTGCGCGTAGCGCTGCAGCGCATTCAAGCCCGCTTCCTCGGTTGGCTCGCCGATCTCATGCACAACAGCGGAAACGGTATGATGGGGACACCAGATTCCGGCCGAAGCAGACCCATACTCATCTCCAAGCCGCACGCTGCTCACGGTATCCCGCCTGGAGCTCTTCACCGGTGTGATATCGAAGCCAAACTTGTACTGCGCCTGGAATGCACACCCAACATGGAAACGGGCGTTGCAGTTGCTATAATGACATTGCACGCATGCTCCTTTGTCTGTCTTGCAGATCTTACATACCTCCCGATACCTGTCCGCAGGAATCAGTCCAAACCCTTCGGCTGGCTCAAGCTCCTTGGAGTTTCCAAACTTGATCTCCGGAGTCCAAACGGCACAAACGACGTGAACCCAGTTGTTACCGGCAGTCCTCTTGAGCGGCTCGCGCGGACCAATTGGCTTGCCCACATCCTCCTGCCGCTGCCGGTAGAGCTTGATGGCCTCGGTGAGTAGTTCTTTCTCGAGTCTCTCCTTCTCGCGATCGCGCTCGGTCTTTTTCTTATGTGTTGATCTCGGCGCTTCCATCAATTCATGTTCCGTCCAGGTCACTGGGCACAAGACGCATTCGTAGCGAGTCGAAATCATGGGCTCTCGGTCATTCGAGCACATATCGCAGAGCCATTTGACACAGTTCCGTGATGGACTAACACCATAGCAGCCGCGATGAACGGTCAGTCGGCAATCCCGGCAAGACAGGTGCTGGTCACCCATGGGCTCCATCTTGTTGCAGATAGCGCATGGGAGCGTCTTCGCCTTGGGAGGATCAGGCATGATTGGCGTGGGTTCCGGCACCTTCTCAGTCGGTGGTTTCTTCTTCGGCGCAGGTGGTTCCACCGATGTCGCTGTGGAGGTTGTAGCGCTATCTTTGTCCGTGATTCGTGCCTTTTTCTTTGTGGACTCTTGTTGTACCTGAGGATTAGCATTTACCGGAACACCTAATGAGGCTGCCGTAGCCGCCGTGGCACTGTTGATGCTGATTGGGGTTTCGGTTGAGAGAAGAAGCTGGGTCAAGAGCTCCTCGTCTACGCGGCGGCGCCATGACTTGTTACCACTCTGCCCAATCTTCTTCGCAACTTCATCGACGCTCTCCCACTGAATGCCATATTTTCTCCACAGGAGAGCGCAACGCAGACATAGAGCCACAGTGAGCTGTGGTCCCTTATCGCGTTGCTTAGAGGAGGGTTCACTAGGTTTTGTTGTGCCAGGCGGGACTCCTGGCGCGCGTCGCCATTGACGTGAGGTTCGTGTAGAACAGAATTTGCACTGAAATCCACGCTTTTTCTCCACCGCTTTCTCGTTATCATACGCCGAGTCATCGTGATCATCCGCCACATCATCTACTAGCTTCGCAGCATTGTGTCGCTTGGCTTCTTTCTTACCCCGCCTGCCTTCGTAGGTTCCCCAGATTTGACGACCGCGCGGGGTCTTCTTCCACATGTAGTAGAACCGGACGATCTGGTAATGCGGTACGGTCCCAACGTGCTTGGTGACATTGCGTAGCTCCGATCCAAACTTGGCAACTCCTTGTTCAAATAGTTTGACTTCTTCGGGGCGCAGGTGGGGTTCCTTGAGGTCCTTGTATTTGTTGACTTGCTTCAATTTCGCAAGTGCCGCTTTGACATCAAAGCTGTTAGAATAGAGCAACTCAAGAGCTTTGTCGAGGAAATTCGTAGAATATCCCTCCACTCCCAAATCGGGAGCTAATGCCTTGGCTTTCTTCATATAATTGTCGATAAACTTCTCCCTGTCGGCGGGACTGAGATCAGTGCCCGGCATGTCATCTTCTCCGCGGGCTGAAATCTGTCCTGCAGTGGGCATTTTGAACATTAATTCGGCGGTACGTACTTGCTTTCCCGCCACTGGGACCGGCTCATCCTCACCGCGGCGCACGTAGCCCGCAGGCTCGTCCAGCACCCATTTCGGCCGGTT